TCTGTTGTCCTGATGTCACTAAAGGGGATGGCCTTTTCTTAAAGGGGCAGATTCCCCAATACGACAGGGTGGACAACCATTCAATGGACATGGACAAACTCTTATTTTTTATTAAATAAAAATATCGTTTTTATTACCAAATGATCAATACACTCAAATTGAGTAATCTCTTATTTAACGAAATATAAATAGGTGAACAAAATTTGTACATTTTATGATTTGACTATTCTACTATCATTCAAATTTAATGAGCAGTGCATGGGACATAGCAAAATAACACATCCTCTTACACAAAACAAAACAAAAAAAATCTAGAAAATGTATCTTAAGAGCCAAGTAATGCTTTTGTTATGAATATAAAAACTTAGCCTAATATAACACACCCTTTCATAGTCATTTTTATGTTAAGTTATCATGGCAAATGAGTTATGTACAGGAAAGCAAAAGGCACCCTACAGTGATATTGATCCAGATAACTCAAGATTAAATCTTGCCAATGGTTAATTTAATTCTGGTTAACAAAAAATATAATATAACAGCAAATAACAATACATTACAAAAAGAAGTCTTCCAAACTTTCCATTCAAAAGCATCCTGTCCCAACCTTCAATTTGTTGTTGTTGTTGCAGGATTTTCATTCAAGCTGTTGAGGTTTTATTCACAATACTTCACATTACAGAAGTAAAATTGTGAATGCCGTTTGATGTGGGTATCAGTATGTGTGTGTAGTCGTTTTGTTGGACTCACTTGTGTCTGTAGTCTCATACTGAGAGTCTCTCTGCAGCTCAAAGATGTCGACCTCCACACGGGCTCGTGCCGGGCCCTCCATCACACTGTTGATGTTCTCTCGGGCCAGAGCCAATGCCAACCGCTCTCCACGTCCACACGCTGACTGATCATCTAAAATAGCAGCTGAAGAGGAACAGAAAAAGCTCTGTTTTGTTTCCGCTCTGGAATTTAATTGAGTTTTCTGATGTTGACGATTGAAGTTGCGTTTGTGATTGCAAAAAGATGGAGTTACTCATCATGATTGAACAGAAACAAGTTTGCAACGAATGTTGCATGTTGTGATTTTAACTGATTAGATAGTGCTACTGAGCGCATTTTCTTTGGAGGCTTGCCAGAGATTAATTGATGCTTTATTGTTCGCAATAATCAAGATGAACATGCTGATGCTTGAAGCAATCCGTCACATGCTGTGAAGCAACAGCCAAGTACAAGCCACTTTGAAAAAGGCTCCTGCTTGAATCCGATAATACTGCCTAATTTCGCCTGAACTCTGCTCTGAACGGATTCAAAACAGATTAATATTATTTTTGATAAATCAACAAAAAATAGAAGCAAAACGATCCTAACATACATATCTGAGATTATCGCTTCACGCTCTCTGCTCTGCATAACAGGTGTTTCGTTGAAAATATTAGGCCTAGTAGGAGGTCAGTACATCAGAAGATGCGTTTAAAACATTAAATCAAGAACAAGCTTTGTAGTCACTATAAATGTGGGCTTCACTTTGATGCTTGCTGCCTCCATTACAAGAAAAACATTTGGGTTATCAGGAGACTCTACCGCTGCTTATTCCAAGTAAAAAGTGTTTTATTTTTCACATGATCTCTATAGATGAAACTGGAAGAACTGAGGAAGAATTAGGGTAGAAAGTGGACGAGGTTAGTTCCGCAGTTGCATAGGTGAAGTCCAGTAGTACTATTACTATTATCCCTGACTATTAACCTTTCCAACACAGTTTGTGCTACTGACATGAATGATACCTCAAATTATGTGGCTTTTTGAGGAGATTATCTCAGCAATGTACTATTTTCACCGGGTACATGATAAAACAGGCAAGATGATCGTATAGTTTTGACTTGGACCAGTAAAGCAAGCACACCCTAGAAACAGAGAGATGATGTGAAGATGCAATTTTGTGTGTTTTGTATCAGGAAGTGGTGGACTCACCCATCCTAACGGCTGCGAGAGCGGGTGCCTGGCTGTGAGAGGACGGGGCCATGGTCAGCAGAAGCAACAGCAGGAGGAGGAAGAGGAGGTGAATCGACAGCAGCAGCGCTGGCAGAGCCGGCATCTTCCACTGCTCCTCATGGAGAAAAGTCGTCTGGCTGCCTGCACTGCCACCTGGAGGGCAGGTACGGAATTATGCATGAGAAGTCACCCACTGACATACAGAATTAAAGGTGGGATAAACGATTTTTCAAAAACGCTTTAGAAAACTGATTCGGACCGAATAGCAAAACAAACTTGTAGCCAATCAGCAGTAATGGGCGTGTCTACTCATGTGGAGGAGAGAGCATTCAGTAAACAGGACGGACATTAGCCAAGCCAAGTGACAGAAAGATAGAGATGGCGGATAAAAAACAAAAGAGGAAAACGTCTGCAGAACAAAAGAAGGCTTAAGGCAAGAAGTAGGACCCGTGTAAATATCGGATCAGCTTTCCAGCGCTGGAGAGAACTCAAGGAGTGGAAGGCCTGCGAGCAGACGCCGAGGTTGCTTTGTTTCTTCTCGATAGGTGAGTAACACTGTGTCTGCGTCGCAACAGCTAGTTGTTGTCTGTCTGTCTAGTCTGTCTGGTACACTGGACGCGACAAAGCGACCGTTGAAAATCAAA